AGCGGTGAAGCTTTGCGCGCGCGCCGGTGCAAACGGTGAAGCTGTACCTGCGCACGCCGGTGAAAGGCGGTGAAGGTCTACGCGCCGCGCGAGTGTAAGCGCCGAAGCTTTACGGGGGCGCGCCGGTGCAAACGGTGAAGCTGTACCTGCGCACGCCGGTGCAAGGCGGTGAAGGTCTACGCGCCGCGCGAGTGTAAGCGGTGAAGCTTTGCGCGCGCGCCGGTGCAAACGGTGAAGCTGTACCTGCGCACGCCGGTGCAAGGCGGTGAAGGTCTACGCGCCGCGCGAGTGTAAGCGGTGAAGCTTTGCGCGCGCGCCGGTGCAAACGGTGAAGCTGTACCTGCGCACGCCGGTGCAAGGCGGTGAAGGTCTACGCGCCGCGCGAGTGTAAGCGGTGAAGCTTTGCGCGCGCGCCGGTGCAAACGGTGAAGCTGTACCTGCGCACGCCGGTGCAAGGCGGTGAAGGTCTACGCGCCGCGCGAGTGTAAGCGGTGAAGCTTTGCGCGCGCGCCGGTGCAAACGGTGAAGCTGTACCTGCGCACGTCGGTGCAAGCCGGTGAAGGTCTACGCGCCGCGCGAGTGTAAGCGGTGAAGCTTTGCGCGCGCGCCGGTGCAAACGCTGAAGCTGTACCTGCGCACGCCGGTGCAAGGCGGTGAAGGTCTACGCGCCGCGCGAGTGTTAGCGCCGAAGCTTTGCGCGCGCGCGACGGTTCAAACGGTGAAGGTGTACCTGCGCACGCCGGTGCAAAGCGATGAAGCTTTACCTGCGCACGCCGATGCAAAGCGGTGAAGCTTTACGCGCCTCGCCGATGTAGGCGGTGAGCTTTACGCGCGCGCGCCGGTATAAATGGTGAAGCTTTACCTGCGCACGCCGGTACAAGGCGGTGAAGCTTTACGCGCCGCGCGAGTGTGAGCGGCGAAGCTGTATCTGCGCAGGCCGGTACAAAGCGGTGAAGCTTTCCGCGCCGCGCGAGTGTAAGCGGCGAAGCTTTACGCGCGCGACGGTTCAAACGGTGCAGCTGTAGCTGCGCACGCCGGTGCAACGCGGTGAAGCTTTACGTGCCGGGCCTGTGATGGCGGGGAAGCTTTAGGCGCGCGCGCCGGTGTAAACGGTGAAGCTTTACCTGCGCACGCCGGTCGAAGTCGGTGAAACTTTACGCGCCGCGCCGGTGTAGGCGGTGGAGCTCTACGCGGGCGCGCCGGTGAAATCGGTGAAGCTGTATTTGCGCTCGCCGGTGCAAAGCGGTGAAGCTTTACGCGCCGCGCCGGTGTAGGCGGTGAAGCTTTACGCCCGCGCGCCGGTGTAAACGGTGAAGCTTTACCTGCGCACGCCGGTGGAAAGCGGGGAAGCTTATTCGACCCGCGCCGGCGCAAAGCGGTGAAGCTTTACGCGCCACGTCTGTGTAAGTGGGGAAGTTTTAGGCGCGCGAGACGGTGCAAACACGTGAAGTTTTACCTGCGCACGCCGGTATAAAGCGGTGAAGCTTTACGTGCCGCGCCGGTGTACGCGGTGAAGCTTTACGCACGCGCTAAGGTGCTAACGCTGAAACTGTATCTGCGCACGCTGGTGCAAAGCGGTGAAGCTTTACGCGCCGCGCCGCTTTAAGCGCGAAGCTGTACGCGCGCGCGGCGGTGCCGACGGTGAAGCTTTACCTGTGCACGCCGGTGCAAAGCGGTGAAGGTCTACGCGCCGCGCGAGTGTAAGCGCCGAAGCTTTACGGGGGCGCGCCGGTGCAAACGCTGAAGCTGTACCTGCGCACGCCGGTGCAAGGCGGTGAAGGTCTACGCACCGCGCGAGTGTAAGCGCCGAAGCTTTGCGCGCGCGCGACGGTGTAAGCGGCGATGCTTTACCCGCTCGCGCCGGTGCAAGGCGGTGAAGGTCTACGCGCCGCGCGAGTGTAAGCGGCGGAGCTTTGAACGCGCGCCGGTGCAAACGGTGAAGCTGTACCTGCGCACGCCGGTGCAAGGCGGTGAAGGTCTACGCGCCGCGCGAGTGTAAGCGCCGAAGCTTTACGGGGGCGCGCCGGTGCAAACGCTGAAGCTGTACCTGCGCACGCCGGTGCAAGGCGGTGAAGGTCTACGCGCCGCGCGAGTGTAAGCGGCGAAGCTTTACGGGGGCGCGCCGGTGCAAACGGTGAAGCTGTACCTGCGCACGCCGGTGCAAGGCGGTGAAGGTCTACGCGCCACGCGAGTGTAAGCGCCGAAGCTTTACGGGGGCGCGCCGGTGCAAACGCTGAAGCTGTACCTGCGCACGCCGGTGCAAGGCGGTGAAGGTCTACGCACCGCGCGAGTGTAAGCGCCGAAGCTTTGCGCGCGCGCGACGGTTCAAACGGTGAAGCTGTACTTGCGCACGCCGGTGCAAGGCGGTGAAGGTCTACGCGCCGCGCGAGTGTAAGCGGCGGAGCTTTGCACGCGCGCCGGTGCAAACGGTGACGCTGTACCTGCGCACGCCGGTGCAATGCGGCGAAGGTCTACGCGCCGCGCGAGTGTAAGCGCCGAAGCTTTGCGCGCGCTTGACGGTTCAAACGGTGAAGATGTACCTGCGCACGCCGGTGCAAGGCGGTGAAGGTCTACGCGCCGCGCGAGTGTAAGCGGTGAAGCTTTGCGCGCGCGCCGGTGCAAACGGTGAAGCTGTACCTGCGCACGCCGGTGCAAGGCGGTGAAGGTCTACGCGCCGCGCGAGTGTAAGCGCCGAAGCTTTACGGGGGCGCGCCGGTGCAAACGCTGAAGCTGTACCTGCGCACGCCGGTGCAAGGCGGTGAAGGTCTACGCACCGCGCGAGTGTAAGCGCCGAAGCTTTGCGCGCGCGCGACGGTTCAAACGGTGAAGCTGTACCTGCGCACGCCGTTGCAAGGCGGTGAAGGTCTACGCGCCGCGCGAGTGTAAGCGGCGGAGCTTTGCACGCGCGCCGGTGCAAACGGTGAAGCTGTACCTGCGCACGCCGGTGCAAAGCGGTGAAGCTTTACGCGCCGCGCCGGTGTTAGCGACAAAGCTTTACGCGCGCGCTCCGGTGTAGACGGTGAAGCTTTACCTGCGCACGCCGATGCAAATCGGTGAAGCTTTACGCGCCGTGCGAGTGTAAGCGGCGAAGCTTTACGCGCGCGCGCCGGTGCAAATGGTGAAGCTTTACCTGCGCACGCCGGTGCAAAGCGGTGAAGCTTTACGCGCCGCGCGAGTGTAAGCGGCGAAGCTTTACGCGCCGCGCGAGTGTAAGCGGCGAAGCTTTACGCGCGCACGACGGTTCAAACAGTGAAGCTGTACCTGCGCACGCCGGTTCAAAGCGGTGAAGCTTTACGTGCCGGGCCGGTGTAAGCGGTGAAGCTTTAACGCGCGCTCGCCGGTGTAAATGGTGAAGCTGTACCTGGGCACGTCGGTGCAAAGTTGTGAAGCTTTACGCGCCGCGCAGGTGTAAGAAAAAAAAATGTAGATGCGATTTTGCAGATATCCGCGTCCGATTCGCATCCGCAGCCCCTGGCATCCGCGTCCGATCCGCAATCGGCCACATCTTAGTCATTTTTATCCGAATGCGCCAGCTCACACATATTACTGTGGATACCCGCGGATATCCGCGGATAATCCGCGGATATGCAGGACTCTACAAATGCTTCACGTGAAGCAGTGAAGCTTGACCCAAAAGAGCCCGTGCCAAGCGAGCTTGACGCGGTCTTTTAATTTCGCCGTACTGCTTCCGTAGCACTCCGTCAGACCAAGCAATGACCTACCTTACCACCATAACATGTGCCCTTTCTGTTTTGCCTGTAAGACCTAACATGCCATATTTTTTCGTGATTGTCTCCACCCTTGGGGTGGGTGTCTACTGGGTCTTTTAGCATACCTATCACAAGCTGCAATTTTTAGCAATGAGGGATAATCATTGGCGTTTTGAAGGGAAAATGATGGTGATGATGATGATGCCTCTGCAGCACTGCATGTTTTGAACACCATTCATGTGTATGCATGTTACATACTTTCATTATGTGCATTATTAGCACCTTTACTCAGTACCATTTTTTAACTTCCGTCGTCGCAGCGTCCGGGAGTTTGCAAGCACTATTAATTCGAATTGAGTTGAAGGTAGATAGCTAATTTTATTCTCCCGTTCTCAGGAATACGATCTCTGCCAGGTCATATTCTGAAGCGACCCATTATTCCGCTCCGCCTAATGACAGTAATGAATTTGCTGCCAAACTACAGCCCTTAAAATATAAGTGTATTTTTTGCAGTTATATATAAAAATAGAACACTAACTATAGGGTGTCACTGTCAGTGTAACGATATCTGTGGGATATTATTACATTGGCTAGTCATTTGCTTGAGGAACAATGCACTTTTTTCATAGACAAAGAGCTGTAGCCAGCTAGGACAGACGACTAACCACCGTCTTTCCATCATCAACAAGATTCTGGAGTATCTGCAGTCTTGGACAATATCAGCTGAAGTTTCCATACTCCAGTAACGATGTAAAGGGTTAAAAGTCGGGCTAGTTGGTGATTCATAACATTTAAAAAGTGCAACGAGACACGGACAAGGCATCTTCCTTGTCCGACAAGGCATCTTCCTTGTCCGTGTCTTGTTGCACTTTTTAAATACTCCAATAGAGAGCCTGCAAGTAGCCAGATATCTTAACATCGAGAAGGTAATTATTGGTGGCTGCAGAGCACTCGAGTGTGTACAGTAGTTTTAAAAAAAATATGTCAAACTTTCGCATATTCACATGAGAGAATTAAAAGCTCGAAGATGCCATTCTGCAATTTAAATATTGACGAGGTATGCAAAGAACATACCTTTGAAGTAACAATAACTTCTTTTAACTTGCTATGTTTGTTCGACTCTGCGTAAAATAAAGTTGCTCATATTATTTTAGAGCTTTTGTTAGATATTTCTTACTCTCCTAATGAGAAATGGAGGGTAACACCAGTCGCCGAAACTAAAGCACCTTGTTCAAGTGAGTTGTAGATGACGCAGAGAGAAACAGTGGCCTTGTTTCTTATCGTTGGCAGGTGGTTGCAACGGTTCGCCAACAAGAAGGCTTTCCTGGCTGTATTCTGCCTCACGAGTGTGCTCCAGGGCATGTACTACACATACTTTGTCAGTGTGCTCACAACCATCGAGAAGCTGTACCAGATCCCGAGCAAGACGACGGGGATCATCATGTCCGCCACCGAGATTGGGCAGATCGGCGGCGCGCTGCTGCTCACCTACTATGGGGGCCAGGGCCACCGGCCCAAGTGGATTGCCTGCGGCATGCTCATCTTTGCCGTCGCCTCCATCCTCTGCGCCATGCCGCACTTCCTGTTCATCGACACCTCGCTATCGGTGACCTCTCTGGCCAGAGCCAAGAATGCTCAGAATGCCACTGTGGCCTCCCAGTGGGCCAAGTTGTGCCACTCATCGGACATGGTCGCGCCGCTCAGTGGGAACTTCACCGATGCGACTGCGCCTCTCTCGACAAGCACGGCGACATCGCTACTGACGACGACGTCGCCATTTTCGTCGACGTCGTTCCTTGTGGACGGAGGTGGTGGTGCGGTGGCCGACGCACTGCGGCAGGTGGTTCCCTGCGATATCTCCTCCAAGCCACTCAGTCAAAGCAGGATCACGCACGTGGTGCTCTCGGTATTCTTTATCAGCCTGCTGCTCATCGGCATTGGGGCGACGGCTGTGTACACGCTGGGGATACCATACATTGATGACAATGTGGCCAACCGGGAGTCACCACTTTATTTCGGTGAGGACTGGATGTTCTGTAGTTATTGGCATTGGCTGCAGATCGTGCAGTTTTGTTTTAACTAAATATGAAGGACTTGGAATTCCGAAATGGTGGGTGTAACATAGCGGATATGGTTTGTAGCAAATGCAATCAGAGACTTGATACAGACATTGCAAACAATGTACAGGTTGTACACTATACAAGCTTAATTCTAAAGTGACCATTTTACGTTGTAGAACATTGATGCGAGTACCATGCGCCAGTTCCATATTATACAATGCTTCTTTTGAATGCATAGTATTCCGAGTCTGGAATGTGACCTCAATACATTGTGCAATGCAGAGTGTGTAGCTTGGTGCTTGCAGCGTACAGTCGCTGATTGCATGGTCTGCGTGCAATGGATGACTACTTTTGGAGCGAGGACTTCCCTCTGTTTGCGCTCTGCGGCAGCCAAGCAGACTGCTCTTACTATGAAGGCTCTTTCTTGCGGGCTTTCTGTACCACCAAAGAGGTACAGGAGCGACAACAATAGTTGCAGTGAAATGAAAGGGGAGGCACAAGGGATGCGGCTGCAAAAGGAGAGCACCAAGCCTAGCAGTTATTTGAAGGCAGTTATCATCACACACGGCCCACTGGCCGTTTAAGCGTCAGTTCACAGACTATCTGTTCAGTGCGCTGTGTAATGCGTGCGAGAAGACTGCAGTTTGGGGTGGACGTGAGCAAAGGCGGTTTCAATGTAACACATTCAGACCATTTTGGGGAAATGTTAAATATACAACCAAATTTGTGTCGGTACATACAGCTGCGTGATACTGCTTTCTGCAATAGAATCGGTGCTAGAGCATTAAATTCAGTCAATTAATTCAATTAAAATAGCGCAACTTTTAGTATCTAGTTGCCTTTCTTGTAATTATTCAGGACACTGCAACCAGGGGATAGATTATTTCTTCATCCTATACAAATTTCGATACATTTTTCCAACCGAAAATAAAAACAGAAATGAATGACTCTCAGACGTATGCAAGGGTTGTATGTGTGTCTGGTACATTTGTGTATCCTATGTTTTTATTTTGATCAGCAAGCTAGTATTTTGACAATTGCACAAACCACTCTTTTTGTTTAAAAAAAAAACTAAAATTTGATGCTTTGATTGGTCTGGAACAAGAGCCCCTCCCAGCACACACTGCTGCGCTCTGGGGAAGTGGCATTCACGACACGGACATTGCAAATGTCACTTTACACCTCTGTTACACTGGAAGAGCACACGATGGAGCTGAGTAACACAATTCAATTATCTCAAAGGATTCAAAATCTTTGCATAATACTATTCCATTGAAATTTTCAAATTTTAACACTTGCCCTTCTAATTTCGCATGCCTCTTCCTGCAGTGTTTTTCTTTTAATGCTGTTCCTACATATTTTGTATTTCTCTCATGCATTAATATTTGAGGGATTTTTCCAAATGTAAAGAATAGACAGATTGCTTTAGTCATTACCAACAATTTGGCATTTATTGACTGCCATAAAGAAGGCAGTAATGACCGATATGTGTCTGAGGAATCTAGTTGTATTTGGCTGATATCCTAGGAGCCAGTTGCAAACCTTTTTCGAGTGCCTATAACTTCTGTTAATGGTGTAAAGGAATGCTAACGTATGTATGGGCATATTATCTTTCAGTATGCTTTTGTCTGTCATCTTGCTAAATGAGCATGATATATTTATTTCAGCACTGAAACTGTACCAGAAAATAATAATTTGTTCAGTGGCACCTTCAGTGACTGCAAATATGTTTTATGATCACTGACAACCAAAAAGAAGTCAAACAGACTCACCTAAAATTAAGTCTGCATTTCTACAGTACCTGTATGCTGTGGTCATTTTATTTCTTAATATCACTTATGTATTAGAAAGGTACACTACAAGAGACAAATATCTGTTTCCTTCTAGGTATTACCATAGGAGTAAGGATTTTTGGTCCAGTATTTGGCTTTCTACTTGGGTCCTACTGCACAAGCGTGTACGTCAACTTCCCGTTTGGTAAGTCATCAACTTTTTCCTTTTGCAATTAGCTAAATAAGTTACATTGGATATAAAATAATAATTTTGAGGAGTGTATGCAGGCCAGTCTAAAACTTTCTTCAGATTGCCTAAACTTTTCAAGGCTTTTGCAGGTAGAGCCTTTCTTCTATTTTATCTTGATTTGCAATTTTTTGATACCAGAACTGGATGATTCCTTTCTTGTCAGAAAAGCCGTGACCAGTGGCTTGGCCAGGATTTTTTTTTGGGGGGGTGGGGGGGCATTTTTATGATGAAGAAGGGGTTGGCTATGGCTACAGGCTATGGGGCTGGGCGTGAAGATTTGGGGGGTGGGGAAGAGGTTTTGAATTTGATACACCCCTTTGCCTACTCCACTGCCCGTGACATCTCAATTACATAAGATTGCCAGAATTGGTTGCCCCCCTTCTTCGTAGCTGTTAGCAAGGAGTCTGGCTTTCCAACTGTTAGTCTTGCACCGATAACTTGTGCCTTTTGTTGCAACAAGAATACGAGTTGCCTATCATCCTCTATCAATCACTCTTTAGTAAGCATAGCTTGTACGCACAAACAGTGAGCCTTTTATTTTTCCTAATGACAGAAACCTCCAACCTGTCCCCTGGTGACCCCCATTGGATTGGGGCCTGGTGGCTCGGAGTGTTTATTGTTGGAGCAGCACTGATTGTTACGGCTCTGCCCATGATGGCATTCCCACGCAACTTGCCCCAGCGTCGATCCCTTGCTCAGCTGCGAGCCCTGAGGCCCGGTTCAGACCAGCACCGCAACGGGATGGTCTGCCTCAAGCACCAGCAGGCATTGCAGCAGAAGGTGCCACTCATCAACAGCCCACCGTCGTCTCCTTCCGGGCACAAAAAGCCCGTCAAAGAAAAGCCAGCCCTCAGGGGTAAGCAGATAGTTTTTTTTTTTTGTTTTTTTTAATTTTTTGCCTGCATGTTTGCATGAACTTGTGGCATACATTAATAACCAAGGCGTTCTCCGGCACTGGGGTACCCAAGTTCCCTCTCCAATGTCCCAGTACTTTTCTAGGGTTTCACACTTTAGGGTTAGTCCAATATTCGCACGAGAAAATATTCCGGATTCAGATTTATGCGAGGTGATGTGAATGTAAGGATTTGTATTCTAAAAATAAAATTTTACATATTTTTTAATTTTTAATGGACACTTGGTTTTCTCTCTTTCTCTCCATCTTGATTACATCATTCAGGACTAAAGAATTCTTGCATGTATTTAATTTTTATATTTTATAAAATACAATTCTTAAAAAGCTTTTTTCTTGTCTCTAAGAAAAAACACCCAGCAATTTATACAACAAACAAGCTTTTTTACTGAAAAACAAAATTTGGAAAACTTCCAAAATTGTGTCACTCCACGAGGCCCCTGAATAACTCATATTTTGGGGAACATTAACATAAAAAGCCTTCTGCAGTCTTTAAAAATAAACTCCGAACACCATGCAGAACATCGTCCTTCCTGCACGTGTGAGACCTGCTCACCCAGAAAGAGCACCCCAAAAGCCTTTGGCATATTTTTATTGTAACTGAGCCCTGGCATTTAGGGTACTTGGAGCCAAATAATTGGTTTATTTTCACTAGTATGCACTTTAGATCAGCTGGCCAACTTTTGAATTATTTTGATCCATGAATGCAGCCTTGGGATGGGTTTTCTTGACCTTTAAAATATCTGTTTCCTGAATAGAAACAAAAATTTGAAAATCTCTTGGAACTGTGCACGACTAATCTTCTCTGGCAACATCTTTTACACACTGTAAAACCTCTAATTTTTGCGAGCCCCTAATTTTCGCAAATTTTTGTGACTCGAAAATTTGCTAACTCTAAGGGACGCGAATATTTCTATTGTCTCGAGAAGCGAATTCCAGTCTCGAGAATTCGCGAAACTGCATCCCAATTCTCGAAAAATTGGGGCTGCGAAGAGAAAGGGTTTTACAGTAGCTCAATGGATGTGCACTATGCCTAGGGGCCAACTGCATTGGCCCAACCATTTTGGCCCAACCATTTTGTCAACATCCTGTCACTGTGTTAAATTGAATGCAGTTGTTCATCTTACTGCCTCCTCTACAGTTTTGGCCTTGTCACATTGATTGCATCTATGGGAATGCTGGTTCAGGAAGTTAGGGATCAAATTTAACTGCCACAGTTCACCTGCTTCCACCATACATGCTACACTGGCCATGGTGTGGCTTCTATTGGTTTCTTCTGGAGCCTACATGCTATAGCTGTCACGAGTGATATGGCCGTATCTTCTACAAAAATTAGTCATGGTTCAGTCATTAGGTTCTTCCGATTTTTGACATATTCATCTAAAACTTGACTGAACTGACTCTACAGCCTTTTTGGCCAACTCCTGCACTTTCCTGTACTCGGATGCAGACAGGATTTATACCAACCTATTTCATATTTATATTACTTGTATGTACAAAGTGATTAGATTTAAGGATTTAGGGGAAGTCTCCAAGGTGGAGAAGATTTATGTGAAGATAAATTTACTTTGACCTAAAATTGAGCTCAACTCCACTAGTCTCAGATTTCTAGACAATGCACATATCCTTATCAGCCACCAGCTGCCTAGAGGGCGCAAGTTGCGCTTCATTTCAGAAGGAACTCAGTTTATCCTTGCATGTACAGAGTGCTGTCTACTAAATTGTGCATGCCTACCTAACCCTTTGGGATCTGTGCTTCTTGCTTTGCGCTTTTGCTTTTGTGAGCCTTTGTGACTGCTGTTTGTGCTGTTGTGATTGCTTGTGTGCTTTTGTGACTGCTTCTGCTGGCCGATACTTACAGCTCTATATAGCCCCGTCTTCTCTTTCAGACTTCCCGTCAGCGATTCGTCGACTGCTTAAAAACGAGATTCTGCTCTACCGAACTGCCAGCAGTGTGCTGCACATTTTGCCAATTGCCGGCCTGTACACGTTCCTCCCAAAGTATTTGGAGAGCCAGTTTCGACTGACCGAGACAAAGGCCAACATGATCACTGGTGAGCAGGCTCACTGGCAAGAGATTGCTTTTTCTATGCTTGCTTGGGGTCTGGACCTCCTTTTGCCTGTTATCTTGTGGTTGGTTATGGTTACATGGTAGAGATGGTTTGCATGTTTTGGAAGTGAACAAATATCTGAAGGTGGAAGCAATGTTCCGGTCATTGCTAATGATTATAATATGTTGTAATGAACTTTGTTATACTTTATCATTTGTTTCAGAAAACTCTACTTGTTCCAGAACTATTGGAAATACTGTATTATAAATATGTTCTTAAAATTCCTTATGAGACTTCAGAAATATTGGCTGCTAAGAATAGCAAAGAGAACACTCACCAGTGTGACTTCCTTTGCTGGGGTTGCTCATTCAATTCTATTAGAAGCTTCTTGAAGCATAAGAAATTGACCACAGTTTATAAGCCTTCATGTATGAGATAAATTGTTAAAAATATTTGTAAATACACTCTAGCAAACTGAGGTAGTGTAAAAGAAATAGCATGAGCTATCTGGCACAAATTCACAGATACCAATTACATGGTTCTTACTTAGAAGTGAGATTGGCTGTCTAAACACATAGAAAGAAGAGAAACATAATGACAAAATCTTTTTTGTGGTTTTTAATCATTCAAAAACCCATGTCTTTGTTCATTACCAACTAATCTGTCAATATGTTGACAGCTCTACTTGTAGAAAAGCTATTAGGGGTTCCAGAGGTAAAATATGAATATGAAAAGGAAAACATTGTTGAATTATGGTGGGTAATACTGGCATATTCAACAATATTAAAAGGCACATTTTCATTTTATTTTTGTAAGAAAGTTCATTGATTCAGAATTAATGAAGGCATTACTTTTACTATACTTTGGTTGCAGCATTGTTTTGCTGTTCGATAATGTTGTCTTTTGAGTTGCTTTAATCCAGTTTACTCCAGCTTCAGTCAAAGTTAAGAACACTCCCTCTTATTGTTTGAAACAATTTTTAAGTGAACCTACTTAATTCTGAAAAATAAACTTGTATCCTTGCAGGTTTTGCTGGCATTCTTGTCATGGGCGTGGGTATTTTTGCCAGTGGAACATTCATGCGCAAGTACAAGCCCAATGCCCGCTTTGTTGCCAAGTGGATTGCTTTTTGTGCACTTGCGTACTCCATCGGCATGGTCATCCTCATGTGGGTTGGCTGTCCGCTCGGAGAATATGTCGGCTTGAATTCTGAACAGTAAGCACATGACGCTGAGTTTTAATCACATTGCATCTCGAAACAAGTATCACTGTTCAACTGTCTTCATAAATCCCCAGCTATACAAAGCCAAACCAAATTATTTTTGTGAACTTCTTTATAACATACTCAATGCTTAAAAGGCAAGCATACAAAAGGTGTGAGTACATTTGTTAGACCCCAGAAACTGACTGGTGTTAGAACACAGAATACAATGTCTTGCTCAGAATCGCAGTGCAGATCCCAGTTTTGAGCCTTAATCATAGCAATGATTTATCGTTAACTGTGCAAATATGAGTTTTATTTGAGTATCCTATGGTACCAGCATCTAAAAAAATATATTTAATACAGCTTATGAAGTCATTTAATAATTAACAAAATAATGTAATTTTGGATAATGAATTTTAACATGAAATGTGTTTCCAGGGCTGGTTTCCAAACCTAGAGCATCATGAAAGGTTGTTATGAAAACATGATAATCTATAGCCAGGTGTCTTTCCAAACAATGCATTGTTTTCCGACGGGTATCAAACTACTGAACTCTTGCTCCCTAACCTAATACCATACTAGTGCACCAGTGGGGAAGCCTTGAATAGCATCCTTATAATTGTTTTATATGTGCTCATGTTGCTAGAAAAACCTTGTGGCCTTAAAGGGTTATTGCAACGATTTTTGTACTTTGCACAAATACCGCTTAGAACCAATGCCTTATGTCAATGACCTAGGAAACACGTATTTGTTTTTCACCACACACAATAGAAGTCCCAGAAAAAATTAAAGAAAACCGAACAGCATTCACTTCCTCAACTCGGATCCAGAACAAGTGGCCATGTGATCTGGAGCTGATTATATGCAGTCAATGCTGATCATAGACACGTGCTGGGGTTGGAAAAATACAGGACACGTGCTGAGTTCCAGACATTGTTATGGTTCGGCTATTGTCATCATTGCAGCTGTTGGACACGGGCTACTACCCGAATGCTTCTCGAGCTATTGATTATCACGAGCCTAAATTAAGTGCCCACGCAAAGCTCGGCTCCAATCTATGAGCCACATTCAAATATTGTCTCTGGGCAATACTCCGACTGCCCAGCTACGTCATCAAGTTTTTCGAAGTAGAGATTGAAAGGAAATGCTCGCTTTTGTCCTTGAAATTACTCCTCAACAAAAAAGTTTCTTGGTCAGTGTCAGTGCGTGTGAGTGTGAGTGTACTTGGGTTGCACTAGTGCCAGTAAGCTGGTGTAAAGTGAAAAACATTCCAAGCGAATACCGTTGCACGGCCCTTTTAAGGATGGGAGCAGCCCAAAACACGCCACAGATTTTGTCCCTCATCTTTATTCATAAGATTAAGGTACCATTTTTTTATGCTAACATCATTTTAACTTGGTTTCAGAGAAATGTAGTGAGAAGCCTGTCTGTCATTTCAGTGCTGGTTAAATAATAGTGCTGCACTGCCCCTGTTTTTTGTTTGCAGCAAGGGATTAGATTTCTTGCCTCCAGCCTGCAACAGCAGTTGTGATTGCAAATCAGGCCTCTTCTCTCCAGTGTGCCATAACAGTGTCACCTACCTCTCACCCTGCTTGGCAGGATGTTCACAGGTCTTGGGCACTGATCAGCAGGTAGGTATCGTATACTCAAGTGCACCATATCTGATGAGAAAATTTTTCTACATAGAGCTTCAAATATATCTTAAAACAATTCATAGTCTCTGTCGTCCTGATGGTTATAATAAATTACATGTCTAAAAATACCGAGCTACTGCCCACTCGAAGTTCAGAGATAATCTTTGAAAACTGGGAGATGGGTGCTTTTGTTAGGTCCAAACGCTAATATTCAGATGGGTCACATAGCAGGGTGGGCTTCAGTGCTTTGCACCTGCGTGCACTCATCAAGCCCCACTACTTCGCACAAGAGTATACTCGGACAAGCGGCTGCTTTGGAGGAGCATCTCGGTTAGCTAGGTTGGCTCAGAAATCTGGGGTGTGCACTTTATATGTGCCTTGCTTATTCTCTAAATGTTTCAAAATTAGTGGTTGGGCACTTTTTAAGGCATGGGTGCATGCTAGGTATTCTATATACTGTAATTGAGTTAATTTTCTGCGAGTTTCGAGACTTTGAAAGTATTGCAACAAAGTGAGTAGTCGACGATCTCATGTTTACCTTCACATGGATTGTGACTGTAGTTCCTGCCACTCAAAACCAGGCTTCCCAAGTGGGCACGCTGGCATAATTGCCTAAGATTTGGCTATTAAATTCTAGGCAGACACTAGGTAGCAGCAATAAAAACATTTGAATTAAGGGGGGAAGGGGGGGTGTCACAGCATCTAGTGTGTGTTATTACATAAAGGGATATACCGTATATCACAACGTTTTTTTTTTATTACGTAAAAAAGTTATCTTAATTTGGGCTTATTTTTTTTGGCAAGTAGTATTATCCTGTTTTTTCTAACACTGGGGACGACTGGGAAGCTTGCTCACATACTACTAAGTAAGACAACTTGACAACTTTTCATATAAAACATTGCATATGCTATAACCTTCAAGCAACATGCCTGCATCTAAACATTTGGTTCTACAGGAATTTTATTACCCTACCGCATAGTCTCGTAAGCACGGATGATGTCAACATAGGTCTTATGCAACGCTTTGTTTGTGTTACAGCCCACATTCAACAGCTGCCATTGCACAGGAACGAATGATACCATTTCCAATGGTTTCTGCTCCTTAGAGTGCAACAACCTTGTATGGTACATTATTGTATTTTCATTCTTCGTACTCATCCACTCAACGTCAGAAGTTGGGTCTATGCTCTTAACTCTCAGGTAAGAGATTAAAATTCACTTACATATGGTCAAGGTCGCTGTATAAACTATAATAGACTCCGTGTCGCCTTACGATGGACTACAGCAGATGTTACGAGACAATGAGCCAATCCAATGCCACGTAAGTGCCACATGACCTTTGGGAGGGGCGGAGAGATGCCCAGGCCTCATAGTCACATGATATGTTCACAGCGCTGGGTTGGTGGGGTGGTTTGTAGCATCTGCTGTGGTCTCTCGTAAGGTGAAATGGAGTATAGCATATTTTCACGGCTTGGAAGAATGATAAAACAAATATCTTACATTGGCTAAATAGTGTTCATGGTGAACTCTTTGCATTCATGGTGGACTCTTTGCATTCATAATTTATTAAACAGGCATCAGTTGTTTTTTTCATACTCTTGCCTTTTCACATAGAAGCTTTGATAAGACTTATATGTTTCTTCTTTTTCATCAACTTATTTTTTTTTATCAAACATATGGTCACACAAATGGGACACATCCAGTGCCACTGACAAAGCCTTCTTAGCAAAATTTACAAACGTAGGATTATCTCTCCACAATTAACCGATTTGCTGAAACAGTACTAGCAGTCATCAGCACTGTAAGTAGCAAACACTTGGAGAAATCAGTGTGCAGTGCATCAGAGTGGATGCTTCATTACTTGCTGTTCCAATAAACTATCACTGTGTAGCTAAATGTTCTTACACACATACATTGATGACATAGCTTTGTGCCATAAGGGTTAGAGCTTGTTGGTTGGGCAGGTACTTACCCTATTTTCCCAAATATAGTTAATCCTTTTTGCTTAGAAACTGCACATCACTCTTCATACAGAGAACATGGAGACCCAATCACTACAATTTACATAATTATGTTATCTGCTGTTTCAAATTGGTTTAAAAGGAACTACAATATTAATGAAACCTCTGCTGTTATCACTTGAATACAAAAAATATTCACATTCTTTTCCTGGAAAGTATTGGCTTTCAATTTATTTATTTGAAATGCTATCAGTCCTACACAGGACCAAGATAGGAGTGGATTTGCACAACACAGAAACACACTCTCAAAATGCACAGATCAATAACACGTATTCAACTCAACGATGAAATGACAACTCCAGCTACTGCTGGCAGAAATCTCTGAAACAATGTATCTCAAGCTTTTACTTTCCATCATCATTGCAAATGGAAGAGCTGTCACCACTGCATTGGCACACCCATGTGGCTGCAAATAGATCACTAACTAAACTAATTTGCAACACTACAATTTTTCTTACAGATGTGTGGAGTCTCATGACAAAGCCCTTGCATTGGGTCTCATACAGTTTGCGATTGGACTGTTTGGTATGTGTGAATACTTACATTTTTGGTCATGGCACTAGCTCCTTATGGTATAGCCTGCAAATTTACATTCCTGTACACTATGTGGAAAGCCAGCTATGGTATTTACGGAAGAAGTTCAACAAATGATGAGACACTGAAAAGCTTTTGAACTTGAGGAAATCACCCACAACCCTGATGTTTACTTGTTTGGAATTCAAGTTATTGGCTTTCTACATACACTCTGGAAAAGTAGACATGACATGCTGGCTTTGTTAGAAAATTTGTGCTATATATAGTATATAAAAAATTTTTGCACCTCGAACCCTATTGTAACATTTCAGAGATAGCCCACTTAAAATCGAGAGCAAAAGGGGTGAAAATAAGGGGTTAGCTAACTTTTGCAGTGCAAACACAAACAAGCAAACATATTGTTGTTAGGCGTGCGTATCGCAAAATTTTCTAAGGAATGTGAAAGTTGGTTCACTTGCCAATCTGTAGGTATACATAATTTTAGAAATGTTTAGCTTCTCATATTTCATTTATTTGACCTGTAATAAATTCTTATCAGCTGTCACATTTGTGCTTTTTTTTATCAACCCATTGGTTCATAAATATAACTCTCAAGTGTTCCTTGTGTTAAAACTATGAAAGAGGACTTTTGTAAATTTAAAAGGAAGTTGCATTTTCACATCTAACCAAAAAGAACAGCCCTAGAATGAAAAGAAGGTGGCTGCTGTCTGCAACTCATGTTATGTGCCTGTTTAACTAAAGGGAAGCTGGAGAGGTGTTTCAAAAAATGAGGTAGAGGTAAATTCAGGCATATTTTTATCCTGTGAATCTGAACATGACAACCATTTTTCTCAAAACGATCTCTAAAAAGCAAAAAAAAAAAAAAAAAGAGCCAAAAACAACTGCAGGGTGTGATGTCATCTCCAGAGTCGGGCAAGCCTGCCAAACATACCTTCATGCACTCTGTATGTGCCTACATCTGGGACACCAGTCTGAAGGCCATGCTTGCAGTTGTGTGTACTTAGGGACAGCTTTCTATGGCATTTGAAAACTGCTCAAGGTGCATGAGCACCCATGCACCTTGATGCGCACAAGGGCTGCATTCAAGGCCGTAAAACTATCACACAGCTGCAAACTACAATCAAAACAAGTGTAAAGACAAAATAACTACTGCAACAAACAAGCAAGCCAGCAATGGAAGTAAAAAGCAATCATCTTGTGAATTGCTTGGGAAAAGCTTATGGAAGCCACTAAGATGTCGAGATCTCTTCATGTCACATTATGCCTCCTCTCAGATTGCCTCCTTGTGCTGATTGGGCCGGGAACGAGAGCCTTCAGGGTATTATTTTGAAAGTGCCTTTATGGCCACACCGTGCATCATACTGAAAAATATTTTCAGTATTCATGATCCTGGAGGCTGAATGAGGAAAATTCAAGGGTTTTTGTTTTCAAATGCAGAACCATTTGAACTTTCCTTTAACATGGCTGCTTCCATGTGATAAATGGCTAGACACCGAAGTGGCAAAAGGGGCCACTGATGAAAAATGGAGGTGAACAACGGTTGTCTCTGAGTCATCCAACAAGTTCACTTGAACTATCCTTTCCTCATTACAATCCTATATATGTTCTGCTTGAATTACTCTAGAAAGCGTTTGTATTGAAACAAGCAAGGTGAATGTAATGTGTAACTTGAATCGCTCTTGTGCTTACTCTCTTTCCATTTAAGTTACTAATTACAGGTGTATTAAAGCCTTTTCCCAGATACAACTCAGTGCTAACCCAGTGCTAATTCAGCACTACAGAAATGGCACTGATTTATGTTTTATCAGTGGTCCGCTGCACACGACCCTACACTTCCATGATTACACACGCAATGTACACTAACTCAGCACCGAGTCAGTGCTGTGAGTAAGCTGATGCAGCACTGACTTTGCATTATATTAGTGCATGAGTGCATGAGTGAGAGGCATGTGTGAATCAGCTTTTAATCACACGCTAATTGACCCCATTGTGCCGTTCGTGGAATACACCTTTGTTCCTTTTTGTCTCTCAGGGAACGTGCCTTGCCCAATCATCTACGGTGCGGTGGTGGATTCCGCCTGCCTCTTCTGGGAAGACAACTGTGGGGAACCTGGTGCCTGCCGCGTCTACGACCCTTCGAAATTCCGCATGGTATTCCACGGAGTCACTGCAATCATCATGTTCGTGGCATTTCTTGTTGATGCCGTGGTCTGGTACAAAGCCAGCTCAATCCACATCCATGAGGAGGAAGACACGCGGGACGCCAGCAACGATGCACCACCAGTTGTTCCTGGAGCGCTGCCCCAGGCTCCAGCTGAGTCCGAGTCCTGCGTCTGAACCATGTGTGTGCACGTGCTCTCTATAAGAAAGACTCCGGTGTATTTTGTAGAGGACACTCGTTTTTGCAATCGCTGGACGACTGACATTGGACTCAAATTGTACAAAAATGCTGTTTCTTTTTTGTGGAGAGAGCGAGGTTAAGTTGCTTTTTGCAAGAGGCCAAGGCAGCTTTATGGGCGACCATGTTGTTGTTTGAAAGATTTTGAAAAGTTGTTAACCACGTGAGGGAAAACCAGCAGAAAGCAAAGACTGTGACCGACTGCAGCGAGGACTGTGTGTGTCGATGTGGAATGTTAAGTAAGCTCCGGTATGCTAGGTTGCTTAGCGTTTGGCCATGAAGAAACACACACCTGGAAGAAAAACGGTGATCCGCGCATGTTTTTTCCATTTCATCCACATTACGTGCCTCATCTTGAGTTTAGTAATATATGACCCGCTTTTTTAGCTTTCGTCTTTGTGATTCGTCCAGGATCCATATGCCACGAAGAGAAACTATTGAATGGTGCTGAAATTACCAAAATTTATTGTTTAGTTCGACCCTGTAGATCTGGTGAGTTGATTTCAACTGCGTTGAAAAGTATGGTCGTTTTTCTAACATGAGCTTTACTCACTGTCATGGTGCATATCTGAATGTTGAGTGCTTAGGCTTTTATACCCGTTTCTAGCTCTTTTTACAGTTTTCACGAGGAACACCCATTTTCAAATTTTAAGAATGTTAGAAATTTCTACAGTGGGAGTGTATTATCCTGGTACATTTTTAATGTGATAGCTGGAAGTTATGCGACTTGAAAAAAAAAAGTGGCACATGTAATGTCACTTTGAATTATGGCAAATGCCTTCTGATGACACTGTATAAAGAAATATACCTACTACTGTTCTTTTTATTTATAGTTATTCATTACAGTTCTTTGATGAACATGTGGAGAAAACTTTATGCAGCCCTCGTATTAGTCTTTTTATGTGATTTGCAACTAGAGCAGATCAGCATACCCCTGTCTAGCAGCAGGCAAAGAGGGTGCATGCATGAATAAGAATGGTGGGAGACTATGTTCAGCACATTTGTCTAAATACTCTGTAACAAACATTTTATACAACCTGCTTGAAAGCACGAACTTCCCAATACCTACATTGGCAATGTTTTTCACTGCTTAAGGGAATTTAAGGACCTGTGTACCAGTACCTCCAAATTATTTTATTACTGCATTCTTGCATTCTTCTGTTTATATCTGTAAATCATGTGGCATGCTGTCCAATACTTTCGTAAGAAAGAGTTACTCCTTGGCGCTTCATCACTTGGTGTGCTTTGCAAAAGCATACTTTGGAAAGTATATAAATTTAATGGTGCTGTTGATGAGATGTCAGTAAATCAAAACACTTGTATATACCTGCTTGTAAGTATGTATGCATGTATGTACATGTCTGTATATGTATGTTTGTTGTTGCTAAAGGTGTGTTACTGAAAGTAGAAAAGAAAAAGGTGAATGAACACAGCTCTGCAAAAATTTCCGAAATTGCTTGGCAACCACCTTTCAATTGTGCACCAAAGAAATGCAGAAATGTAAAACTCTAGAATGTTAACTATATTATATGTATAGTGAACTGCAAAAGGTGATATGGTAACAAATGTTCTCTAACTTGATTTTGCACTACTCATGCATCCACAGCCACCAGTCATACATGCTATGGGAGCACAAATAGCAGTCTTTCTGTGAATATAACATGTTTGGAGACAGGTTACTCTACTTTCGACTTGCTCTTTAGAGGATCACTTGGTCTTTCAAAAGTGCAATTATGTGGAGTATGTTCATTCACCTTGTATGTATGAACTATGTATAAATATGCTTTGTGAAAGGTATATATGCGGCAATATTTTAGTACGCAAAACACCAAATCTTGTCGAATGTTGTCCGATGGTGTGAATTCATTTCGCGATGTGTGATCTCGGTGGCTATTGATGCATTTTTTTTGTAGCTAGGCTCAGTTTCACGATTATGTCAGCCAATGCATGCCATCTTGCAAGGCGCTCTGAATTGAATTTTGTTCTTCTGCAATTCGCTCTACGCAGGTGAAAATGGCTATTGGTGTTTATGTCAGGTAGCATGCATGCAATGAAAACTATTTTTGTAATTATGAGTATGACTTGCTGGTTAGTCCAGTGTACTGACAAGGACTATCTTTTTATGATTGACGGTTTATAAAATTGACTTGTGTTGAGGAAAAATTTGCAGATTACTAGACTATAAAAATATGTGTTACCTTTGTTGAAGTAGGACTGTATCTTTGGTGGGGAGAAATTTCGAGACATCTCACAAGGGCACAACAAAATGGAATACATGCGGTAGGTTGACTGTGGAGCCCATGGATTCTCTACTAGGATTCAATTTTACTGGTTGTATGTAAGGTTCTACAACCTTACAGTGAAACCTTACAGTAGAACCTTACAGATTCTACTGAAAGGTTCTGTAACAGTTGAAGGTGTTGCCACTTTCACACAAACATGTTTGTATGTAGACTTGACAGTATACATTCAAAATTAATCCTTTATCATTTGTTACAGAGCTGACAATTTTGAGGGCACTTTATCAATGCCAGTTTGAATATGTATACTTTCTGTGTGCATAATCAAATTTGTCCCTTTCTTGTTGTATTTTCTGTAGAAGTGCTTAAACACATTTTTACCTGCACCGAATCGGCAAAACGGTAATAGTTTCACAAGTTGACTTTTCTGCAAGGAATGTTTAGCATTAAAATTCTAAGGGGAGAGGGGTTTGAACTGCCTGAGAGAGGAAAGGGTGATAGAAAGTGGCGATGGAGAGGGAAGAAAGTTGTGTGGACGTACCCCTATTAGGAAAGAATGTGCATCTATTCCTCCACTGTTCCAACAGCACTGGCAATGCATGTGTTTGTTTCTTTTTTCCAAGAGGGGGGAGGGGGGGGTAGATTACTTTAATTTAAACATTCGAGTCATGCTGCATATTTTTCGTCATCTCAGTTAGTGTATATCATATTCTTGATCTCTCATCTCATCTGTATTTTTCTGCTGCTAAAAACCATACTGCAAGATCTGCAATGGGCAATCTATGTGTTGCAGCAGTCATTCCAGACCTCTGCTTGAGCATTTTACATTCAAAGTTACTTGTGTCTAGTTTTATCAATGGCTGTTGCACATATTTGATTAAGTCTCCTTACAATGGTCGACATAAAAAGAATGTAGTACTATATCCAAATGAACGCTTCCGCACTGTGAAAAAGCACCTCGACGTGGATCTGCTGAGGTGAACCTTGCCCCCTCACAGCGCTGCTGCAATAATATATTTTGAACAGAATTCCTTCACATGCCTGGCTTAAAAGCTCTGCGTGCTGTGCCAGCAAGTTGAGCTCAAGTTTGTGCCCAAGTGTAATTTCTAATTTCCGAACATGATATGCTGAGGGACGTTAAGGAAGGAATTCCGGGCAGCGGACTAAACTCAATTCCACTGAGATTCCTTTCGGCGTATAACAGAAAATTCTAGCCGTCAGAACTGAAAAGAAAAAAAGAAACTAGAAGTCGCAATCAGTTGAAATATTTTTAGGTAGTTAGATACTGCCTATTAGACAAAACCACACAGCCGAGACTTCCCAGCATATTGCTCCTGCCTCACGTATGGCGAGTTGTGGTTGAATGTGCATCAAGGTATTGCCATGTCGTTGCTCAGTCGGGAGAAACGCCAGAGATAGTCACTTCTATCAGTGTTACGGTAATTCATGATTAATTATCGAAGCATCAAAATACCTTCTGTGAAAAGGGACAAAACTGCATGCTTACTTTGTTGCTTGAAAATAAAATTTTTATTGTACAGGGAAGGTAGCGTCTAGGTATTGAACTTGAACACTGATTGCACAAGGACAATTGTCACTTTATATCAAATCTCAAACAAGAAACACGTGCCGTGAAAGTAAGGGGGGTTGCAAGAAGAAAATCGTAATCAGAATTGATAAGCTCCATTTGGGAGCCCTACCTGATGTTTCTGAAAACCAAAACGAATATTTCACCATTTTAATCGCTTAGTCTGAAATGAATGAAGATCAACCCAAAGGAAACAGTATGTGCCTACGTGTGCTGTACCAATTTGTCTTTGTTTTTGCACTCGCTCAAAGATGAAGTTACGATGACAAAACAGATCTTCATGAGCCTTTTACAAAGCTGATTTCAGTAAATCCATGTTGAGGTTTTCCATAAGAAGAAAACATTCATTTTGATATATCTTCTTTTTATGTCGGCCATCGTATTGAAGCTCGACCAAATCTGTGAACCTTATGCCTTGTTAACACTTGACAGAAATAAGCTTGAGTGTAAAAGGCAGGAGCAGCTGGGGGACTGGAATGCTAGCAACAACGCCATGGCTACCGTTTTCTAGGTATCGTCTGGCTATAACAACCGTTCGGATTGAGTTAATGCCCTCTTCGGGAGAAAATGAATATTGTAAACCGAAGAACATAGACAAAATAACAGATCAAAAATATATATACTAAACTCAGATAAACAACCATATACAACCCAACTCAAATGTAACTTTAATAATAATAATAATATTAACAGCAACAATAATAATATAAAAAGCATGCTTTGTGAGTAATGTCAGAAGAGCAGAGGGGTATTGGTAGACGTTTTTTCTTATTAGGGCACGTCGCCCCTCTCAACTATCATTTTTATAAAGATATGACAGACCGAAAACACTAGATGCTAAAAACAATAGAAAAGGTAGACGCGGACTTGGACCTATAATCACTTACACGAAAAGAATGTCAACGGGAGCTGTCAGAAATTACTGGTCCAAGCGCGAGCCTGCTGCCTTTTAGAGTGGATTGAGTGCATATGGCATCAAATTGGCTACACCCATGCATATGGGTGTAGCCAAGAACTACAACAGGATAACTCGTTCCTGGGGTTATTATCCTCTTAGTCACCATACAGAGTGCATTGTAAAACAATAAAACACCAGAAAATTAGGAAAATTTTAGTTGCAAACAATAGCACAAATCTGTTCATGGTCAAAGTAAACCCCTTATATGTGCCTTTATTTTTAAGACAAATAAAAACTATGTGAACAGGTGGGACAGAATTAAACAAAGCAATATATAAGGAAGCAATAATACACGAGGGTTCCTTGAAAGAAGCTGTCAAATTCTTTCATACATCCAACTCCTTGAAGAGGCAGCAGATACAGTTCACAAAATAGAAGTCATGAACCATTTGGTCACTGCAGCCGTCTGCATGGGAGTAGAATCCTTGTATACCTTTAAGGGTGAAAACAAATGAAAGTCACATGTTGAGATATTAAAGTTTGGTGGTACAGAACCTTCCGCCTTTCCTGCACGAATACATTCTGCACAATGTTCACAACATGTGGACAAGCATATTGGTGTGCAACAGAACTATGCCAGATGAAGGCATGCCGAGTCGCTTATTCTTAATGGCTCTATGCAGCTTGTCCAATGCGTCTTTGTAGTGGTTTGAAGTGATGTTAACGTCGGGCTCCTTAAACGCCGCAAACAAAAGCCTTTCATGGTCAGAAAATACCCGATTTTTTGTTTTGTTCTGGTGATCCGGACTGCATGCTTTCTGTTCTGGTGGAGAGCTCAAAGCAGTGACACCATGTTTCATCGCTGAGCACTATGCGCCACAGATGTGCATCAGCCTCTGCTTCATACTGCAGCAAGTTGTGTAAACTCCAGCATATGCATGATTTTTTACGGTGGTCAGCCAGCATTCGTGGGAACCATTGTGAACAGACCATCCGATACTTCATTTCTTCCTTACCACCATTTGGAGTACCAAACGACATAGCGAACTTCTCTTCTAGCGAACGTAACCTCTGACGATGGTCCTCCCGTATTGTTCCATCAGTCTTGGCGACAGCTTCTGTCTCAAGAACATAATCCCAGCCTCGCTGTGGAAGATTTTTCGTTTCCTCATGTCCTTCCCAATACATTTGCACCCAGTCAGTCACTGTTGTCTTTGACACACAATTGGCACCATACATCACCTGCGTTCTGCGGTGAATGTCGACTGTATGGTACCCTTCTGCTGTTAGGAACTGAATCGCCACTCCCTGAGCCACCTTGGGTTGGATTGCCAATCACACCGAGCATGTTTTCAATGGTGTCCAACATAAGCCAGGCATGCGAGGAGAGGGAACGATTCGGATACTTGAAAGAATAAAACATCGAGGGCGAGGACGGAAACTGGACTTTTTTCATTGAACAACAGAACATAGCGCAGCTAAAAATTCCCATTAGGTCCAATTGAAATTCCAATTGGTTTTAATAGGAACCAATTGGTTTTAGTGGATTCCAACTGGAAACACACGAGCCAATGGGTCTCACCAACTGGAATTATATTTCCAGTTGGAATCTGAATGGGTTCTAAATGGTTCCCATTGGCAGTGACCAATTGGTTGTCCGAAAACCTAACTGGTACCACTGGGAACATTCCAGTTGGGACCTAATGGGAATTTTTAACTGGGAGAATCTATGTTCTGTTGCTCAATGAAAGAAGTTTTGTTTCCTCCCTCGTCCTCGATGTTTTATTCTTTCAAGTATTCGCAGCAATTTAACAACACGCTCGTTTTAAATTATTACAGCGAAAGATTGCTCGCTTGCTCTTTGGCTTGCGCTCATCACAATAATTGCAACATCATCGGACCATTTCTGCACCGATCTACGTGACTCGGCACAGACCTGTTTGATTTAATCATGCTTCATACCTTATTTACTTCAACTAAGGTTGATCCTTGTATAAAACTTCCAGAGAGCACATTTCCCCGGTTTCGAGAAAATACAATATTACTCTAAAGCCATATGCTATCGGCAAGACGGATTCGGTCCTAAGTATGCAGGTTCACGCAAAGGACATGGCAGCTACCCGATATACATGCTTGCACCTACGTCACATGATGACGTCGAACACCAGTACCCACCATGCTGGTGGTTGACTCGACAGCCCTTCGCAGCGAGAGCAATGGTAAACTGCGCAGCGTTTGGCTGTAGCAGTTACTGTTTATTTTGACGGTCGTCCGATCGTTTTGTCGGCAAGCCCCGCGAGACAGATTAGCCGTGAAGTTAGCGAAAGTACGTGCGGCAGGAAGGGGATGCAGCCGCGGATTACCGAGTTTGCGCGACGCATTTCGTAACGGCGAGCGACGGCACTTTTCTACCGTTGTTTACGATCACGCACGGCTTTGCATCGGCTGCTGTCCGTTCGTGGTGTAGATGGCCTTTGTATTTCGCTACACAACGCCGTTTCCACGCTTCGAGCGCACCTTAGGGGCTCTCGGGCCGAGTACGGGCGATTGTCGCGAAGCGAGCCCGGCCAGACGGCGATCGGTCGGCGGCGGCCCCCGTGTGCAAGCGACGCCGTTGCCGCCGCGAGGCATCGGTTTGTGCCATCCGCCAGAAAGGTAATCTTAGCAAGGAGCGAAAGTATGCAGGCGAGCCAGTTAGGAAACATCATAATATAAACCCTCCATTATTTGATTTGTCCTTGTCTCAGGGTTTAGATTATGACGGTAGCCTTGCGTTGTTTCAAGTTTTCAAGTTTCTTTATTCCTTTTCATACTAGAAGAGAGGGAGGAGGAAAAAAAGCAGTACAAAATTGCTGGACAGTGCCCTCTCCTCCTCAACAGCAGAATAGGCACTCAAAACAAAAAACGCTCTCAAGAGTACACATTCAGATTTCTCACGAAACTAGTAAAGATCGTATGCGTTTGTTAAAACAGTTGTCAATTGTAATGTTACGCAACAAAAAACAGTTTAACATTTTGGGCAGCTGGTATCTCATCTCACCATCTGATTTTCGTAGTTTGTTCTCGAGCGCGGGACCGTCCAGGCGTCGGCATGGCGGGTGGCATACGAAGTGTAATTCGCAGTAATACCAGTAATTCGCAAAATCGTAACAATTCGTCCACAAGCGACTCTTAGAGCCGCTCGTCAAATGTCGAAACACGCCCAATACAGCTTACATATATTCTTTTTTTTTTGCGACAAGGCAGTTTTTGTGTTTTAAAACTGCGTCGGCGGCATATCGAAACTTTCTGCTCGTAGCGCGATCGCACCATTGCAGAAAAATTCTGCACGTACTGGCTATACGTCATCATCGTAAGCTCGGCACGTTTTTCCAAGTTCACATGTAACATAACTGGTACCTTTGTGGAAAATCTGGTGCATGTCAGCGCATGTCCGGGCACTTAGCGGCATCCTACGCCTTGGTAAGTTCATCCGCGCGGTGTGAAGTCAACCACCAGCATGGTGCGGGGCCCCGTTCGTCCCTAGCATGACGTCACTTGCAAGGCATGTATATGGTGGAGTAAAATTTCACATATCGTAGTAGCGTTTTAGGAACAAAGTCAAATCACTTTACTTTCCCACAGATGATATGCATGCTAATACCGTATTTTCTAGTGTATAAGTCGCAGTATTTTATTCCAAACTTCCGCCGGTTCGTCTTATATGCGCTCTCTCTCTAAGTCTATGCAAGGTGTATCAACATTTATGACGAAGGAGGAACGGCTCCCGCTGATGGCCTCCTTTTTTTGGTGGCTCCGCGTGTGGCAGCATAGGTCCGCGGCTCCGGCGGAAGCACACAAAGAAGTGCGACTTATATACCAATTGTCTTGTGAACGTTTATAGGGGGCTGCAGGGCAACTTACAGACCGGAACATATGTTACCTGCCATTTACAGAGGAAAGACAACGCGGCAAAAAAGGAACGTTCATTCAAAACTGAGAACGTTTTCAGTCATAGCAAAAACATTTTCACACAACAATACGAGATATTGAAGCTCAGCAGAAGTCTCCACGTCAAGAATAGTTCAACATGCAAACTGAATGGCAAAACTATGGCACTGCATCGAACCAAAACAGCACCGTAATATGGAAAGCCCGGTAGACTGGCGTAACTATGCGTAATTAAGAACAACCAACATGAAACGTTTCCATGCAGCAATGAAGAGCATCCAATCAAATGTTGCAAAAGTAACTGAGACGATTTGTTCATAACGATGGTTTGCAACTTCCCACACGAAATTCTCAATCACCCCAATATCCTAATTCTTGAACTAAGATACCACTTTTGTATTTACAGTATAGTATAGACCTTTCCAAAAGAGGACTTTGGGTCGGTTTCATACTCAGAGTTCGTGCACATGGCGCATGATTTGCTCGCTTTGGAAAGCGAGAAACATACGCGTGCTGGGCTGTGGATTCGTAAACATTCGAACGGTGTATACTTGTCTCACTTTACGATGAACCATAGGCAATAGCACGGACCATCTCGGCCATCTGCGAGCGTGTCACACGACTTCATGATCCACATGTCGACACGTTTGTCCAGGAGCCGTGTGCTACGTTCTCGACGCCGGATGGGCCGCGCTGGCTTGTAGCATCTGCTGAGGTTTATTGTAAAGTAAAACAGAGTATAAAATCTCGGAGATCTGTATTTGTTTTGGTATAATGTGAATTTTACGTGAAATAGTAGAATTCTGGGTTAGTTAGTTATCGAACATGATTAAAACAGTACGAAAAGGACGGGACAAAAGTAGAACAGCCCAGGGTAAACGCTGTGTCGTTCTTCGCTGTGTCGTTTTTATGATTTTCGCTACTTAAAAGGTCACCCTCACTATATGCTAATTTTTTCACGGGAGTCAAGGTCCACCATGTGACCGCCATTCGCTGTCCACAAAGTAGGCGTCCGCATTGTGGTTATAGGGGAGTGGCATAATCCGGCTCTTACAAACAGTGAATTCAGTACATTTTGGATTGTGAATGAAAGACAACCTGTCTCGGCCAAAATCAACATGTTCCAGTGTTGCTGTCCGTTAACATGTACCCTGAAGGTGGTATGCCATTGTCATAAACCTAGAATACGATTTATTTTTTTCATGATATCCAGCACAGCAAACATTGGAACGTACTCGAAAATGCGTAATGACTGGGAACCACAAAAAGGTTATTGATTTTTAAAAACCCTGCGCTCGCGCCGCCGCACGCGCAGCACGCAGAGCCGTTTATAGAGAGAGTTTGGTCAATGAGAGGAGCCGGCAGAGCCAGTGTGTACCAGAAAAAAAAATGGTTTGAGTGTATGTTTATAGCGCCTAGAACTTGGGGTGCCTCAACGGGGGACGAGTCTCCCAGCTGTAGGTGAGAAATTTAGCCAGTGCAGTACAACCGCTAGCCTGGGGTCTAACGTGTGTCACGCAGTGGTGAAACACGACCGCACGCCGGTACGATGCTCATCCAGAT